CCTTTAGGCCTTCAATTTCTGCCTTAATATGACTTCTACATCCTGCTTATTGGTAGAATAAAGGTATTTCCTCTGAGGATACATGAGCTTAATTGAACAGATTTAAAGAGACATCGTTTAAAAATTCAAATTAATATAGTTTCAAGCTATTATTTTTCCAGAGTTAGAAAGAAAATGAAAGGCTCTTCCCTTTATGGCTAATTGAACAAGAACATATACAGCTCAGAGCAGAAACAACAGCACTTAGAAAAAGCAATTCTTTTCTGAGCTTTATTGATCTTATTTTTTAATGCTACTGTCAAATATATTATTTCTAATCAAAAATTGCCAAGTAATATCATGAAGATACTGGGGAAAAGTTGGAGATATTTTAAGAATTAGGGAGCTCAAACTCAAGTCCCACATTCCCCATTTCCTACAAGTTAGTGTGATTTAGATCCCATAACAGGGAATGCCTAACAGGAAGATATTAAAAGTATTGTTCTGAAAATTCAACATTAATCACAAAATTATGAATAATCACTATGTGCACAACACTATATACAACACCATTCAAGTAACTGTTTCTCATTTTGCCAAGACATATCACACAGAAGTGAGAGGATTTCTGTGTTAGAAAAACAAAAAGTCATTAATTAAAATGATTCAGATGACGGAAAACAAAATACTGAGAAAGTGTTAAAAAAACAAAAAAAGTAACCTTCACTAATATTCAAGTGATGAGACAGCAAGCAGAAGGGTAACTAGGGGGAATGTTTACTTACAAAACTGCCTTAGAGTCAATAATCTTATAACTCAATCCCTCCTTTTAGAAGAGTTCTCCGTAAAAAGTTACAGTAAGAGAAAAACGACCGTGTTTTGGAATAACATACAAAACTTACTATTAGGCAGGTAAATACTGCCTCTTTAAAAAGACATACCTGATTTATACAAAATTTTTATATTTTAAATTCTTTTTATCCCCTACCCAGACCAAGTAACAGTTTACTCAAAACAAAATTTTATCTCTGTAAAGTAGCTAGTTCAACATTTACCAAATGAAACATTTATCAGTGGAAGTAACAGACACCTGACAGTTATGTAATTCTCAAAATCATTCTACTTCAGAGATATCAAGAAAATTAACTTCAACAAATTATGCCACCCTTAGAAAATCCCTCCAACCCCCAGCAGTCAAGTATGTAAGAGCCTATTTCAATTTTTTCAACTATTACCATTAGAATTAGGACAAGCAGCTTCACTATACTGGGGGATGGTGGGTGCAACAGAAAACATCTCCAATTAAGGAGACTTAAGAGGTGTAATTACCAGTTTATAAATGTATTCTTTTGTTGTGACAAAATTTTTTTCAAACACTAAAATCTTTTTTCCATGATTCAGTTACAGAGAAAATCTTATGTTCTAATTGCACAGGTGAAAATTTGGAATTCATTTAATGTGTACTTCCTTATGCTTCCAAGAATTAAAACCATATGAAAACAATCCCAGGTTAGCTAAACACTGTACTGTATGTTGTTACTGTTCAAAAGAAAATGCAATCTGAATAGAACAGATGTGTTACTTAAACACAGAAAGAAACAAAAGTCATCCAGGTTTATGTTTTGGCCTCTGTTCCATTTCCTTCTTTACTCTTCAAAACATACACACATAACGTTTCTCACCAAATAAAAGCAAATTTTAGTTGGAATCAAATGTGGATACTTTTCATGTGTGCATATTGCATAAAATATTGCTCAGTAAGGTTGAAAACAAACCTCAAAAAAGTTCCAAAACAACAGTTCAATGTACTAAGTTTACCATGATTCAACTTCAGTCTGGCTACCTGAAAATTAGGAATCTATCCATACTGACAGGTTTGTAATACTCAAACTCTTCTATTATCCCCTTTATCTAATCAAATGTGTAGTGTATATGCATACATACCACACACACACCATCTTCCCACTCTTCACAAGGGCTCTACATTAACATTTGCTCTAATGTGGTGAAGTTTGAAAATATTAAAAATCACAAGCATTTCCACATGACCCTTCAACCTTAATGTTCAATGCATAACTTTGGGATTAAGAATGCAGATTTCAGTGTCCTGTAGCATTTCCAATGATCAAACTTATCCATGACGTTAAATTTAATAGTTTGAAGAGAAAATGACCAGTAACTTTTTCCTAAAAGTGAAAGTGGAAAATTTGAACAAAACATTTCATGCCTCCAAATCAAGAACGTCAAATTTTGTCAATTTACTAATAAAGAGCAATATAGCAATACCAGCTTTACTGAGGCTGTTAACACAAAGTAAATTACATAAAATTACATATATCAAATACTTTTATGTTTATTAACACCACAGTCAAACGTGAATATTAATATAGAGCCTTCTCTGCCAAAAGAGTATAAAAATCCTAAGTTTAATTAAATTTAGGGGCCTTCACCAAACTTGCTGCAAGTTTGGGGACATAAATATCCAACAGCCATAAAGCTGTGAAAGCCCCTATAAGGAATAAAATAAATCCCACTTGCCTCAGACTGAACAGGGCAACACTGAGACTCAGCCTCAGCCTGTCCTATGGCAGGGCTATAGGAAGAAGAAAATTTTAATTTTAGAAAAACATTACCCAATTAATTTAAAAGACATGCATTAAAAAAAAAATCCCAGTGATCAAGCAAGCAAAGGAAAAAAAGAGCTTTTTTTCTTTTCTTAAAAAAAAAAAAAAAAACAAAACTACTGTCTGCTGTAATTCCACTCTGAACCCATACTTATTTTTGTTGGGGATCTCCCCCCCCCAAATAACTAAGTTCAATTAAGCTGAGTTTAAGCTGAATATGTAACTTGATCAGTGGAATAGTAGTACACTAGGAGTATTTTCCCCATTCCTAATGGTAAATGGGTGCAATTATTACTAAAATACAAGTATTCAAATTAAACAGTAATTCCAGCAGCCACTCAAAAGTTGATCCTCACCTGCTGCTGTTGTTCTGTCATACATTAGGTAAAATCTATACACAATAGAAACTAGTGCCAGACAAAACGTCAGTTTAGTTTTTTTGTTTCGTTTTAAAAAGGTAACATAGGAGTGGACTAAGGGAGAGCCAAAGCTGGCAATCCCATTAATTTTACAACTTCCTAAATTATGGCAATCACAATGCCTGCCTGAATATAGCAAGTCCTAAAGGATGTCTTCTGTGAGGGCAAATGGAAGTTTACTTCAACTCAACTCCATCTATTACTTTAAGGAAGCATAAGTCAAAGTAAGAGTTTATTATCTCAACATGATTTGTTGTACTCATGATTTAACCACACTATGGACCCCAGAAGCAGTTAGGTAAAACGTATTTTCTAGAAGCTTAACTATGCTGATGCATGCACAAATTACACTTTAAATATACCAAATGGGCACCACCTGGGCCATATCTAACACAACACAGGAGACAGTACGCTTAAGTGTTATGCATTAACACTTTGGATTAACTTTTAATTAAAATTGAAATTCTACAACTTATTTGAAAGTAATTTTTTTCCCTTCAGACTTCAGAAAATAAGCCTTGATATAAAATATCAGTTATCTTTGCATTAAATGTAAATAAAGCTTTGCATAAGTTTTGAAACATCACTAACCCATTTGTACTTTGTTGATAAACCTGTACATTACATGAAACGCTTTAAAGACATTTGGTTTGGGAAAACACTTCCTATTTAATCATTCTAAATTAAATCATGCCATTTCTACCTTACAGATTTTTACACAGGCTCCTCTTGGGCAGTCTGATAAATGTGCTGCCAAATCTAAGTTAATTCCAAAACTACTGGAACAGGCAGGTGTTTGGTGAGGGAAAGAGTAGTGGTATGGGGCTTAGCTGTTGGAAGAAGGAAATGCATTCCTGGTGATACAAAGATGTTGTCTTTTCAAGCTATGGAGTTTTCTGAACCTCGATGGTACAAGAAAAGAGCTATAAAACATTTCACTGGACCAAAATATCTGAATAAAAACTCACTCAGCGTTGTAAATATTTGAATGTTTTGTTTCAATGAATGAATGACTTTTACTTGTCACTTAAATACCAACTCTTTTATGACTGAAAATTTTCAGTGTTTTCCTACAAGATTAAAACATTTTTTTGGAAACAGAAACTCAGATTTCATATAATTATCTACACCTTCACATGTAGGTTATAAAAAATTACCATTTTCTTACAAATCTTAACTTTACGTTGAGAAAAACTCAATTTGAGTTCATTAATAATCATGCTTTGTGTAGATCATTTGATACTTAATCATAAAAGTACCTTGCAAAAATAAAGATTAAAAAAATGGATGCCAAAAAAAAGGTTAACAAGAGCCATTACTGTAGGAGACTTGCAACACAAAACACTAACAGCAGTGTCGCCTCTACAGAAAACTTCTTCACAGGACACAGTAACATTCAAATTTCCAAGAATGAAAAGGTTAACAGGAAAGCCAGTTAGGCTTTATAATAACAGAAGGTAGTCATCTTAATCAAAGAAATAATGTAATTTTCCAGGAACATAAAATAAAATTTTGAATCCATCTGTTAGCCATCCTAACAGAGGTACACTTATTCTGGCATTACACTTAGAAAAGATTCTAATCCATTAACAGCAAAAAGCTATTACTGCATGCACCTAAGCTTCTAGAAGTCTGCACCTGAAAAGCTTCTGAGGTCCACGCAGTACTGCAGTCTCAAAAATGATCAGAAGGAAGTGAATGGGTCTGGCACTAGGCTCTAAACTTCATCAGCAATGAAGAGGAAATACTAAGGTTTACATTTTAAATATCTAAGACATCTAACATGTAGTGACACCAAGGGCATGGAAAGGTGACACAATATAAAGATTTCATATCCACTATGTAATGACTCATATTTATCGAAGTTTTTCTGTCAACTTAAGCACTAACATACAATTCTATATATATTGTCCAGTTTAAACATGCAGCTAAGGAACAACCTACAATTCAAAGACAGAATCCAATGATATATCAAAACTGCATTGGTAACTATGAATTTTATTATGTGGACATCTACTGTGGCATGCATCTGTACAAACCTTTCAGGCAGTGGTCCACAGCTGGGTTATGAATAAAAAGGCGTAAGTTTTTCTCTCATTTTATTACAATGAAGTTTAACAGTACAGAAAAGTCACATGACCTTGGTGGGTCAGATTTCTTAAACCCTGCAACATGAGGAACTCTAAATACATTAAATATTGTTATACATTCAGACTTCCAATGTACAGGTCTCGGGAACAGTTACAGCCCTCACCAAGCTAGGTTGGGGACGTTAAGTCCAACAGCATCTGAAATGCTGTGAAGGCATAACTTTACAAATAGCAATGTAAGGTTACAGAACTTGCCTTTATTAAGGTGGTATGTTCATGTAATTCCAGCGCCTTCACAATATAACGAACCAAATTTACTATACTTCACTTCTAAAAACCTAGATGAAACATGAAAAAGAAGCCATACAGTATAAATTGCAACTTCAGGAAAAGTTCCTGCTTTATTATTCCAAATAATTTTTCCCATGTAAAATAAATGTCCAATAGTTCCTGGTATGTGGGAAGATAATGTTTGTTAAAGTCACAATGAAGCCTTATTGACGGAAGCTTGGCTATATAAACAGCACAAGTTGAGAAAAGGTTTAATCTCCAAACCTATTAGACTGGATGAAGTAAGATCAGTAACGGCCACCTTGCGACATTACAGGAGGTCTCATTCCCATTGGAGGTCGAGGAGGCCCACCTTGGTAAGGGGGCACCATTGGCGGTCCCTGCCCATATGGTGGCATAGCACCAGGAAGGTAACCTGGCATGCCTTGATGATGACCACCATACTGACCTAAAAAACAGATTTAAAACACAAAAAATAGATTGAGTTGGTCTGTGCATTATGCTGTTAAATGCAATGTATTCTGCAAATAAATTTGTGTATACTCAGAAAATCCACTTAATAAAGTAAATACAATAAACATAAACACAATGAACGTAAAAAAAATACCATGAGGCGGCATTGGGGGTCTCATTCCTTGTTGCTGTGGGATGCCTGGCTGTGGTGGCATCATACCTCCAATAGGTCCAACTGGTGGATTACCAATGGGAGCCTGTCCTGGTCGAGGAAGATTACGTTGGTATTTAGGTAACTGTGCCCTTCTCTCTTCCTACAAATAAATATGATCACAATGTTAAAGATTTGAATACAGAGAGTCATTAATCATAAAAGATAATCACCCAAAATATTACAGAGTAACTTTGTAAAAATGTACCCTTATTTCCCAACCATTATTTTTGCTCCACAAACCAGTCCAACTGCTTAAATCTCAATACCTCAAGAAAACCTCACCTATTTTTATATTTGAAAAATGGCTAATAACTTTCCAGGAATTATATACTGCCTAGGTAAGAAAATCTCTAGTGAAGAAAGTAGATAAGCTTAAAGGATCTGTATATCCTACCTCACACTTATCCATTTCATCACTTACAAATTTATGTGTAACCAAAATGATTTTTGAGAGTTAAGAACCCAACTTACTGTCTTCTTTTAAAAATAGTCTGGGTGTAGGGAAAAGTGTGTGTCTAAGATCAAAACACACAATATTCACTTTATTTTGTGGTTCTTAAAAGCCGGAATGAAAACCACACAGTAAGCATTAGATCAGATTACAAAACCACTGGTGTACAAATTAATACTTTAAGAGGAAATGTTACTACAACGGTATTCAAACTATGCCAGTAAAAACCCGTGAAAAACTTACCAGTGATATATCCTCATCTGGGTGGATCAACTTACTGGTTGCACTGGTTGTCGTAAGTGTAGCAGGCTTACTTGTTATTGAAGCCGCTGGTTTAGCTGCAGTGCTATTTGTTGTACTAGTCGTTGAAGCTGTAGACTGTGTATAAGCAGGGAATGTAGGCTTTGGGGGTTCTGTAGTTGTTGCAGGGGTACTATTTAAGGGCTTGAAATCTGTACCAACAGGTCCTTGGACAGCTGCCTGAGCCTGGAAAACACAATCTTTCATTAAGCAAACTTCAAAACCCAAAACTGAATATATCTATTATACTTAACCTAAAAGTGAGATACTAACATTCAATAAAGGACCAAACTTTAAATGAAATTAAAACAAAGTTAACATAATTAAAACACCACAAAAAATGAAGATAATATGTAAGAATATCAAAAGACCCTGGAGTCAAAAGTCACATCCAAAACTCAGCAGTGGAAACAAGATTGCATATAACTTCAAAGATATTATCTACCTTTATCACCAAAATTTACTTGCTTTACAAAGCTTTGAATTTATTTCAAACTGATGAACTACATTGTATTGGAATATCGTGTTCTACTCTAACTATTCTAAATTAGTTGTTCAATCAATCTACTAAGCACCTCAAAAAAAAAAAGTAAATTACAAAATACAAATGTTTGGATAAATTTTAGCTACTAAGCAGAGCATAAACAGTATCAGTGGTGACACATTAAAGATGTCCCTTCAGAGATCTCTTTACACAGATAATACAGTGTCTTCCCAATTAACCATGGCTAGGTGATTACCATGGACAAAAGGGCTTAGTAGGATCTTTTAAGCATAAAGTTACCGGTAATAAATGTGTTACTTTTCATAATTCCAAACATCTGAAACATGAACACTAGGCCAACTTTAGAACCAAATGCAGAGTACTATATTTCCTTACATTGTATGTGATGCATTAGATTAAATAGCATAAATCAAAAAAGCTTAATCATGCATCAGGCTAAAACCAGTGGCTACTATAACGCATTTACTGCTTACATGCTTTTAACCCTTTAGAACCATAGGAGTTTGGGAGTACATTTTTTTCTATTAGTATGAGTTCAAATTTTCAAATACCATTGATTTTTATACCATTAACTTTAAAAAAATTAAACAGTATATTTTGCGGGGGGGAAAGATTTAGTTTTAAAGTAGGGTCCAAAGGGTTAAGTTTATAAAGCCATTTAACAATTTTAAACTGCAACTTCCTGCGTACTTGTGCTGTGCTAGGAAACAGAGCTTTAGAAGATGCAGACAGACTTTCTGAATTGGATGAAGCTGTACTTGAGCTTGTTACAGGTGTCCCCATCTGTAGCATAAAAGAAAGGAAACAATGAAAAGTCTCCAAACAAATGGGTGAAAATAAGCCATGTGGTAGACTTTTAGTATAGATTGCATTTTTATAAATGCAAAATATAATGCAATCAAATCTGACTTATTTCAAGAGGCAGGCAGTTAATGCATTTACAATAAACAAAGTGACAGTATGAGCCTCAAAAAAAATTTTTTTAAACTCTACACCAATAAACCTAGTTAACCAGTTTCTTTTCTAAAACTGGGATGTGTTTTTGCACTGTGATTTTGAAAAATGATACCTTCAATCGAGAATAAAAATGCATTACTACTGACACTTCAATCCAATTCTCTATCAATGACTCCACAAGATTTTTGCCAAAAGCTTGACATCTCTCAGTAAATAAAATCCCCACCCACCTCAAAAACACAAGATATATGCTTACAGGGGACTTTAAAAGTAAAGCTTTTATTTTCACAACTATAAACAGGAAAAAATTGAGGGAAAAAACCTCTATGGGATAATGTTAAAGTGAAAAAATAACACACATCCTGATCTTAATTCTGAATCAATTAAATACATCTATTTAACTTTGAATATAACTAGGAAAAAAACAGAGAAAGTAACCACCATTACACACATTCTCTCTATATATATGTAAATATATATTAAAAAAAAAAAAACAAAAGCATCTTTAGTTTCTGAGTTCTAAAAAAAACACAAGTTCAGTGGAAAAGATTAAGTCTAACTAGGTCAAATGATGCCCTTCCTGCAAAAGTGTAGCATTGTCGTTTCTCACTGTTCTAAGAGTCCAACAAATGATTTGCTAAGGTCTTAGGATTTTCTCCTTTGACTTTGGTTTCATTCCACTCATAGTTCAAGAGGACATAAGAGGACCTCTAAACATTATCATGTATTTAAGTACCCAGAAATTAAAGCTTTCATTTCTATCTAAAGCTAAGAATAACCAGAGTTCACAAGCTATGAAAAAATTAGCATACTACATTATCTGGCTCTAGTCAATGTGTGCAAACATGGAAGAGAATAGGAGACTTCTCTGTATTTAATAAATTATATTTAAAAAATTAGAAACAAAAAACAAACCTAATGACAATTTCAAGAATTTCTATAAATTTCTACACTTTACCTTTAAATCTAAGTGCACTCCTTTTCAGGAATTTCACCTTACCTGCCCAGCACTGGGGAAAAGAGGCTTAGTAACTGGAGGCTGTGGAGCAGGAACTGTTGCTGTTGGTGCAGGTGGTCTATTAAGAATGCCTGGAGCTGAAACAGCCTGTGCTTGAGTCATTGGAGGAATTCCAGGACGGGGAACAGGAGGGGGCATACCTACAGAGAAGAAATGTTGGAAAGACAGGGCATGTCAAAACATTTAAGTTCAGAAAAATTTTTTTCCCAAAACTCTGTTAAGATATACCATATTAAAAATGCTTGGGGAGGGGGGTTGCCTGGGTGGCTCAGTGGGTTAAGCCTCTGACTTTGGCTCAGGTCATGATCCCAGGGTCCTGGGATCGAGCCCCAAATCACGCTCTCTGCTCAGTGGGGAGTCTGCTTCCCCCTCTCTGTCTGCCTCTCTGCCTACTTGTGATTGTGATCTCTCTCTGTGTCAAGTAAATAAATAAAATATCTTTAAAAAAAAAAAAAAAAAAAAAAAGCTTCTAGGGGCGCCTAGGTGGCTCAGTTGGTTGGGCCTCTTGACTCTTATTGCGGTTCAGATCATGGGATCAAGTCCCATATCAAGCTCTGTGCTGGGTGGGGAGCCTGCTTGAGACTCTCTCTCCCTCTCCCTCTACAATCCCCCACTCATGTGGTCTCTCTAAAAAAATAAAAAATAAAATCAAGGGGCGCCTGGGTGGCTTGGTCAGTTGAGTATCTGCCTTCAGCTCAGCCCCTGATCTCAGGGTCCTGAAATCGAGCCCCACATCAGGCTCCCCGCTCAAGAGAGGGTTTCCTTCTCCCTCTCCTCCAAATCAATAAAATCTTGAAAAATAAAAATAAATAAAGCTTCTCTACTACAAAGTTACTGAAAAACTGGTCAATTCAATGAAGTCTTGAGTAACCTAGGCATTTGCCTCAACCTTTCTATTTCTTTGGGTATTTCAGAACTTCAGGAAGTAAAAGAGTACTGGAGATTCTATATATGCAGAAAGTAGCAATTAAGCTTACTAATATTACTGATTTGGCTAACTTTTTGAAACACAAAAAAGAATTACTGCAATCATCCAACAGCTGGATGCTCTCTGAACTCAAATTCAAATTACCGTAAAAACACTGATAGGTCACATACTCACAAAAATTTTCCCAGAAAACTAAGTTACCCTGAAAACACTTTAAAGATTTTATTTTTCTTAAGTAAGCTCTACAGCCAATTCAGGGCTCAAGCTTAAAACTTGAGATCAAAGATTGGTTGCATGCTCTACTGACTGAGCCAGCCAGGCGCCTCTCCTTTAAGCACTTGAAATAAAATTTCCTGGGGCACCTGGATGGCTCAGTGGGTTAAAGCCTCTGCCTTCAACTCAGGTCATGATCCCAGGGTCCGGGGGTCGAGCCCCACATCAGGCTCTTTGCTCGGCGGGGAGCCTCCTTTCCTCTTCTCTCTGCACCTGCCTCTCTGTCTACTTGTGATCTATGTCAAATAAATAAATAAAATCTTAAAAAAAAAAAAAAAAGAGAAATAAAATTTCCTAAAATCCATCACAAGTGCATTCTTCGAACTTCCTCAACATAACTTTGCCTAAAATATCTCAGAAATAACATATGTGGAACTACGGTCTATAAATTAATGGTTGCACTGGCAATGATGCAAATTTTGCTGCTGCCGTATTTTTCCTGTTCCTTTTACAACCATCAATAAAGCTGCTGTGGACTGCAAACCAAACTTGCTAGAATTACATATAAAAAGCAAAGAAATCAACTGAGAAAGCCTATGAAGGCTTCTATGGCATACCTACTTTGGCTAACCAAATTCCATTCCCCACATTGTAGGCTATAAAGTCATAGGGGTTTTTTTTTTTTTTAGACTCCCTTGGAGCTGGAGGGTCCATTAGACCTGTTTCTGGTGAACAATAGGACGCTAGGAAGTTTGTGGGAAAATCACTTTGCTCTTTTTTTTTTTTTTTAAGATTTTATTTATTTGACAGAGAGAGACAGCAAGAGAGGGAACACAAGTAGAGGGAGTGGGAGAGGGAGAGGAAGGAGCAGGCTTCCAGCTGAGCAGGGAGCCCGATACGGCGCTTGATCCTGACCTGAGCTCAAGTAAGACCCTTAACGACTGAGTCACCCAGTCGCCCCTACTTTGCTCCTTAATGAAAAAAAAGACAACCCTTTGCTGTTGACACCCTTTCTTGTCTGAGTTGTAACAACTGAGTGATGTGTATGAGGGAAAAAAGCTAAGGTTAGCAAAGAAGAATATTTAAAAACACATGGGTTCTTGGTATCACCAGCCACTGAAACCACCACTTTTCTTTCTGTTGAGTGAGACAATAAATGACTACATTTTTTAAATATGGCATGACGGGTTTCTCCATTACTTGCCAAAAGTCTCCATTATTCATCTAAAATATTCCTAACAAATACTACCCCTCAGGGCGCCAGGGTGGCTCAGTCAGTTAAGCATCTGCCTTCAGCTTGGGTCATGATCCCAAGGTCTTGGGATCGAGCCCCACATCAGGCTCTCTGCTTGGCAGGGAGCCCACTTCTCCCTCTCCCTCTGCTACTCCCCCTGCTTATATGCTCTCTCTCTCAAATGAATAAATAAAATCTTTAAAACAACAACAAACCCACAAATTCAACACATCTTAGGTATATGAGCTTTGGTGCAAAGGTTCTGTGACTCATTTTGACTGCTTTGAAACCTGTGTATTATCCATTTCAAGACTCAAAAAACCGCCATGGTCCATTCCAACACTTCTCCAAGTAATTTCAAAGTGAACTCAGCAAACTATGGTAATTATAAATTACAACTGCACTAAAATCCACAAACCTATTCTTCAAAAAAGGTAAGAATAAAGCATGCCAATCATATTAAAAGGTAACCATCTACGTTTCATACCTGGCGGCATACCAGGCATCAGAGGTGGTATTCCTGGTCCAGGTGGCATCATTCCACCCATTGGCATCATTCTATTAGAAAGCAAATTTCAAGAAACAAACCAAGTTAATTAATAGTATAAACCATTAGAAAATATTTTGGCTAAAGCCTGAAACAACAGATAAAAGACTCGAATTTGACCTTTAATACTGAAATAAATCAAGCTGAAAGAATACACAACACTGAAACAATTCTATCAAAATAAACCCTCTAAAACCCAGCAAATTCTTGGGTTTGCCAGTAAAATAAGGAAAAAAAAAATCAGTCTTTGCTGACAAATCATTTTCATACGTAAAGTCACTAAGAACAACTATACCTTCCTTAATATATAAAAGAGGCCTCATCTAAAATATGTGTAATTGGAAATCAAAATCACCTTTTGTCTCACTTGAAAATATCCATACAAAATGTAAATTAAAAAAAATTATTTTGGAGTCATCAGATTTTTCAAAAGGAAAATACTGAATGTACACTGTGGAGTAAAGATTTTTTTTTTCTTTTGGAGGGTTAAAAAAAACAAACACTACCACCAAAATTAAAAAGAATCAAAAGTAAACTCACACAATTGTCTAATTTCTATTTGTAATAGCTACCTAACAGTAAACCATGACTTAAAAACATAACCCATATTTATTTTCTTTCCCCTAAAAGAGCTCACCTTCACATATCAATATTCAATTCACTTAAAACAGTTCCAAGTTTGTGAATTCTTAAATGAGAACTTTATCAAAAGGTAAACTTCTATATACAGATTTCATTATAAAAAAACTGAATTACTTCCATAATAACAAAGCATGTAATTTTGGAAAAGAGTATCTATTCTTTCTTAACTAACAACTATTTTTTTTTTTTTAACAATTTAAATTCCATTACTTTAGCAGTTTGGGGAAAAAGAGCTGCATTTAAAAAATGCTTTTTATATGGGTCTATTACAATTTCCTCACAGATGTTTTATTTCCCTCCATTAAGAGACCTGTGTCAACCAGCTTGCACATTTTAGAAGTTTTAGGAAGGTTAGAAAATTTCTGAAGTCAATTGAATAGATACCATTAAACACATAAAAAAAATGACATTATGATACCTCCTGAATTACATTATGAATGAGATGCTTACATGTTTTCACCGCAAAATGACTGGGTGTATTTTCTCTGATGATGCAATCTGTGAAAATGTATGACAAAATCAAAATCTAACTGTGATTTTCAAAATACAGTGGGAAAGTGTATTGTATACCTCTCACATCCAACAATATTTAAGTAAAAGTGATAGGCACGAGCACCTCATATTCATTTTAGTTCTTGATGATTTGACAAATAAAATAATTTACAGAGTTTGCTTCTTGTCACAACTACAAAGTGTCATGGACAGTTCTGAATCTTAGAAACACAAATCTACAACCAACTACTTTAATTACATCAGATGCAATTGAAGCAGATGGCTGCCTACAGACATCCTAAAACCCAAAAATCTATTCTCTTCAGAGGCAAATTTATATTCCTTTAATTGATTGGTAGACCCCTTTATTTGACAAGTTTAGTATTTATGGAGCCCATACCTTTTAGCGGGGGGGCAAGGGGGGCGGAGGGGAGCAAAGTAACATTTTATAATTCATTTAACACCCAAGCTGAAAAAGATCATTACTAGGCACAAGCCCACAAGTCAATTAAAAGTTCTCTTACCCAGGTGGCATGCCTGGCATAACTGGTGGCATTCCTGGCATCAGAGGAGGAACACCTGGCATTAATGGAGGTATGCCTATAAATAAGAATTTCAACAACAAAAAAAAAAATCACAAATATTAAAGTGGTAAGAGAAAGATTTTAATACTTCTACATCACATCAATAAAGTCCTTAAAATGTTAATTTTAAAAAACCTTATGTAATACCTGGAGGCATTCCTGGGGCTCCCGGAACTGGTGGCAGTCCTGGCTGTGCCATTGGAGGGATATAGCCTTGTTGAGGTTGAACAGGCTGTGGCTGAAATGAAGTTGAAGCTGCAGAGTCATCATCATCATATTCATCAGAATCGTCTTGTTGCTTCTTTTTCTGACTCTCTGCTAAAAAAAGTTTTAATTAGTTTTTCCCATAAAGTAAAAAAAAAAAAGAAAAACTCAGCATGTCTGACATTCAACATTAAAAAAAATAATTTCAGGGCAGCTGGGTGGCTTGGTCCATTAAGAGTCTGCCTTTAGCTCAGGTCATAATCCCAAGGTCCCGCATCCGGCTTCCTGCTCAGCAGGAAGTCCGCTTCTCCCTCTGCCCCTCCTGCTTGCTGTCTCTCAAAAAATATCTTTTAAAAATAATAATAATTATTTCAATCCAATTAGCTCATGAGATTTTTCTTACAAAAAGAAAATCACAATACTGTTTTTACTCTTCAAATTTGTTTCCAATCTACATTAAATAAGAAGGTTAACATACTTTCCCTATTCTATGACAGGTAAAAGTATTTTTCCTAAGTCAGCTTTATTTAAAAAAATTACTTTCTATTCCATCCATAAAGATAAACTCTAACAAAGAGGTCTGACCTCTTCTCGATGCTTCTCAAAACAAAAGTTTCAGGGCACCTGGCTGGCACCTGTAAGTAGAATATGTGACTCTAGAACTTGGGGTCTTGCAATCAAGCTCCACATCAGGTGTAGAGCTTACTTAATAAAAACAAGCAAATGAAAAAACTCAATGGAGCTCCCGCATGATGGCTCGCTCAACTGAGTGTCTGACTCTTTCAGCTGAGGTCATGATCCCGGGGTCCTGGGACTGAGCCCCAAGTGTAGGCTCCCCACCCAGTGAAGACTCATCTTGAGATTCTCTCTTCCTCTGCTCCCCACCAGCTTTGCTCACTCTCTCTCTCCCTCTCAAAAATAAATGGTAAACCTTAAAGACATAAAATAAAAGAGGTGACTGTGTAGCTCAATCAAGTAAGCATCCAACTCTTAGTTTCAGCTCAGGTGACAATCTCAGGATTGTTGAGATCAAGCCAGGGTGGTTAACACAGAGTCTGCTTGAGAGTCCCTCTCTCTTCCCCTCTGCCCCTCCCCTTGCCTGAACGTGATCTCTCACAATAAATAAAATCTTAAAAATAAAGAAATTTCATAGGTGGTTAATAACTTCCACTATCTGGATAATGATCACAAATTCCAAGACAAATAACAGCACTAAAAAAATATTTTACTATTAGTAGTTATACAATCAAATCGTAACAAGCAACCTTTGTTTTCAAAAATCTCAACACTTGCTAATTCCACCTGTAATCATATATATACAAATCAAATACACAATTTCTAACATTAAGACATAATAAAACTCAAAATTGGAGTTTTGAATAAATCTAACAACCACTATTAATTCTGTACGTCAAATTATTAATACTCTCATTAGTGAAGCTCAATTAAGAAAAAGCAAAGATCTTAGCATTTACCTTGTGTTTTCTGTTCAAGAAGTCGTCTTCTTTCATCCATGTCTTTTTCTGGAATACCTTCCATACCATATATTTCCAATTCGATGTCTGTTCTCCCAGGTATTGCATTTGGTACAGCATCTATTGTCTCTTTATGCACCTAACATTAAAACAAACTTCCATTAGATAGACTAAAGTGCCTCATAAAGTCCTTTAAGAGTAATCTGAAATTACTTAGAGAACACTCAGTATAATGGTTAAGCATAACTGGCTCTATAGTGAGACTACCTGGACTCAATCCTGTTTTGCTGCTCACTAACTAGGTATGTGGATTAGGCAAATCATTTAAGATTACTCCACCCATAGTACCTAACACCTAGGATCATTTTTAGAATTAAATAAAACACAATGAATATAAATTATCACTTGGCAGGATGTCTAACATAGTAAGGACTCAATAAATATTAATTTAAGCTTACTATGTAATCTTGCTTGCTTGAAGTATCAGCAATGAACTAGTAATTCCACTCAAATCAGAGAAGTTTCAAGTCTGACAAATAAAACTTATAGGAAACAGTCCTCTTTTATCAAGAATTAAAATTTCCAAGAATGGATCTTGAGACAAGCCTGTAGTCACGAATTATAAAAGTGACATTTACAGTTAGCATTACCCCTAAGGAGTTACCTGAGACAATTAACACTGCACAGCAATGATCCCGTCATTATCCTAAACTTATTTGGTAGATCACAAAGAGGAGGAAGTGCTATTATAAAACACTGGAAATCTACAATTTTTTTCCAGTATGGTTTTTGCTAGAACAGATGTTTCCAACCCTCAAACATGGATCTCTCTTGCCAATATGGTAAAATTCCTGTCAGTCTCAGTTTCTTCAGCCACTTGCATTCACTCAGGCTAAAAAATGTCAAAGTATTCTTGCCCAGACTATCAGCATCACCTGAAAACTTATCAGAAACACAAATTCTCAGTATACTCTCTACCCCATCAGAAACTCCTGGGTAAGGCTAGCAATGTGTGCTTTAACAAGCCCTCCAGGTGATTCTGAGGCATGCTCAAGCTTGAGAATCACTGATTTAGGTTAATTATGACTTGGACATACTTGTCCATACTCAATTTTTCTTTCCTCCCAAGACACTTTCATGTAAGAATAGAAAGGTAATTAAAGGAAACTAAGTATTTTTTTTTTTTAAGATTTTATTTTTTTATTTAACAGACAGAGGTCACAAGTAGGCAGAGAGGCAGAGAGAGAGGAGAAAGCAGGGTCCCCGCTGAGCAGGGAGCCAGATTCGGGGCTCGATCCCAGGACCCTGGGACCATGACCCGAGCCAAAAGCAGAGGCTTTAACCCACTGAGCCACCCAGGTGCCCCAAGGAAACTATTTTCTTCTCAGATATGTATCTCAAAGACTTTAAACAGCGACATGCAAATCAAATTCAAAAATTGTAATTTTTTATAAATTTTTAACCACTGTTCCTCACTGTGATTAAAAGATCCACGAATGGGGCGCCTGGGTGGCTCAGTGGTTAAAGCCTTTGCCTTCGGCTCAGGTCATGATCTCAGGATCCTGGGATCGAGCCTCACATCAGACTCTCTGCTCAGCAGGGAGCCTGCCTCCTTCTCCTCCTCTCTCTCTCTGCCTGCCTGCCTCTCTGCCTACTTGTGATCTGTCTGTCAAATAAATAAAAATCTTTAAAAAAAAAAAAAAAGATCCACGAATAAAGCTACTCAACAAGCAACTTAATCACCATTTTCTAAGTTTTTTGGAATGTTACTATTCTTGACAAATGCAGATGAATTAATTCATGTTTTCCAAAAAAAAAATAAAAATTACATTCACATACACAGTAACTAGTCTTTGTTCTACTTCTAAATGATAAGGCCAAGAATAAACATTTCAAAAGCTTTTGGAAAGAAAGGAAAAGAACATGATTTACCTAACTACCTCACAATATCCCAGCCAGAATTAAATTTCTTAAAATCTTGCCTAGAAGTTGGTATGGTCTTGGCTGAAAAGACAAGAGAAAGCACTGATGTGAACCACCTAAATTATTAATGTCTTAGGTTTACCACCTATAAAATTGGGAGGCTGTATCTGATTTAACTGCCATGCCTATCTCACAGGTTGCTACGCAACTACACTAGGACTACAAAAATAGAAGCACTTAGTCCATTAAAAATGTTACTGAAATAATTTCTCAACTAATCTCTTTCTAGTTCCATTCCATTTTTCTGCTCTTGTATAGTACAACTCTTCAAAGAGTGCCTCTACTTCCTTATTTTCTTTTGAAAGCATTCCAATCAAGCTTTCATCCTCATCGTTCTAGGAAATCATTTAATCTCAATCCTCTTCTTCCTTGACCTACCACCAGCATTTGACTCAGTTAAATAACTTAATCCTTGAAACATTTCATTTGGTTTTCAGGACACTATTTTCTTGGATTTCCTACCCTTTCAATGTCCCTGAATAGTTTAACCTTCCAACCTTTAAATGCTGGGTGGCCTAAGGTGGAGTACTTGCACCTTTTTATCTATATTCCACTCCCTAAGGAAAAAGGACATCTAGTATAATGAGTTAAATAAAATAGCTGTCCTTGCACGGTATCCTTCCAAACTTCTATCTCCAGCTCCCACCTCTCTGAACTCCAGGATTGCAGACACAACTCCTTATAGGACATCTCCATCTGGATATTCAACAGACCTTCTCAAAATTAACCTAACACCAACCTGATATCCTCATCTCTAAGCCTATTCTTCTGACAGCTTTCTACATCTCAGTATATGGTATCTCACAGACCAAATGCCTTCAGATCATCTGTAACTCCTCACTTTATTATACTCTGCATCAAATCCACCAGCAAATTCTTGTTCTCTGTCACCCTCACCTCTTGCCTGGAATACTCTAGTCACCCTAAGTGCACTCTGCAGCCTGTCTAATCTCAAGTCTACTGGCCAGGACAATTCTTTAAAAAAAAAAAAAAGAAAGAAAGAAAGAAAGAAAGAAAGAAAAAAGAAAGTGCATCAGCATGCTCTCCCTCTACTCAAACCTCCCATTTCATTCAGAATTGAAGAAAATGGCCTACATAAGCCCTCCTATATAAAGAACATTGCTACTCTTTCCTTCTTCCTTCAATATAGAAGGATGCTCCTATATGTGAGGGTCTTTCATTCGCTGTTCCATGGCTCTTTCACTTCCTTTCAGATCTCTGTTCAGATGTCAGTTACTCATCCAGGCCTTTTCCCATCTTGTGGCCCTCCCTACAACCTCCTACCTAGTTTTAGCCTTCTCTATCACTTATCACTGAAAAACTAAGTATTTACAGTTTATTTTCTTCCACAACACGAATCTAAACTCCACAATGGTGACTTTTTCTTCACAGCTGTATACTTAGTGCCTAAAACACTAACACAATACCCTCTCATAGGAACTTTTTGTGAGAAATAGTAATATTCTGTATCGAAACTACCCAATACAATAGTCATCCACCAGCCCCATGTGACTGAGCACTGGAAATGTGGCTATAACATGACTGACATATTAAATTTTTTAATTTTTAAATTACCCCTTTAAAAAAAAAGACTTATTTCAGAGAGAGAGAGCAAGAAAGCAGGGGGAGGAGCAGCAGGCTCACCACTGAGCAGGGAGCCCAATGCGAGACTGAAATCCCAGGACCCTGGGGATCATGACCTGAGCAAAGGCAGGTGCTTAACCAACTGGGCCAGCCAGGTGCCCCTAAGCGTCTTTTAAGTAGCCACATGTAACTAGTGATTGCCACAGTGGAAAACTATGGGTCTAGCATGTAGCAGGATCTAAAATATTTTTGAATGAATATTAAATTATTGTTATAGTTATATAATTGGAGTGGAAAAGATCTATATAAACTTATTTTCTTTTATAAACTTATTTTTAAACTTGGGGAAACAACATCTTATTTTAATTTACCTCCCTGCCTCCTACCAACAGTAGTTTCCAATGAATAAGGATTTGCTCATCTCTCATCTCTCTAGGGTCCAATTAGGCAAAAATTCAGGCAGCTCTAGGATTGGCAAAAGTAGAAGAAATAACGTTGAATAAGACATAAAGGCACTTACTAGATCTTTAAAAATATAAATTGCAAAGCTTTCCCTACCTAGCAGTGAAAAAACTCAAGAAACCCAAAAATTATCGAATGAAACACAACGTTACCATTCCAAAAGAGGTCCAGGGAATAACAGAAGTAAGCCTATCCTCAGGCAACAGATTATAACAAATCTTTCAAGGGCAGTGAGTAATGGTAGCTAATTATGTGTTAATTCTCATAGGATTAGAACTGGTCAGACTGACCACAGAATTGAAATCACTGATCCTTGTTCTCTAACCCAAGTACAGAGCAGATACTTGGGGACCTCAATTTGTCACCAATCTAACCTAGGATAAGAAATACTATCAATAATTCAAAAATAAACATTAGCAACATAAATTTTCTTTAAACATTGAAAAAACACAATTATTTATCTTCTTAATGGCTAAAAACAGTATTTTTTTAAAGCTGACTAACCACATCTGATCTTTTGCAATAAACAAAACCCTACAGCTGGCAAAGAGAAATTCAAAAAATTTTTTCACATGGTTTAAACAAGGGGGTAAAAATTAAATTAGGGGGAAAAAAAAAATCCTTACCTGCATGCAATGAATAGCTAAGCCAGGTCCTGTGTACAACTTCTTATGACATATATGGCATTTAAAATGTTTTGCTTTTTGGTGTTGTATAAGAATCTTCTCATCATCAAAATCTCTATTACAATACCTGATCAATGTTGTTAAGGTACAAATCCAGCATAATATTGACGCTGCTTATAAAAAAAAATCTGTCATACATTAGAGAACAGGAGGAAGAATATTAAAATGTAAAAACAGCTAAAACCAAAAATGTCATTTATACAAAGTTGTTTCTGGTATTTACTATGTAATTAGGAATTATCTTGCCATGTACTTCTACTCTTTTAAGTTTCCCAGAAATCCATAATCTCTCTCCACCATCTCTAAATGAACACATCTCAGTAATCAGCAACATAGTTTTGTCAAATTCTTGCATTTAAAAGAGATTTAAGTGAAACTGACTTTTTTCTTCATTATTTCAACATTTGAAATGCACACTGTGGACTGGACAGTTCAATGTAAAAAAAAAAAAAAAACCCAAGTTTATGTCGAGACCGAATTTCAAAATAGAAATCATTAAATAGACGAACAAAAATAACTGAAATATTAAAAATCTACCTAATACCTGGAATTTGAGAATATTTAGATCCAAAAATAAGCTCATAACGAATAAGAACATATCCCTATGAACAATCCATAAAGTTGTTTGCAACTCCTTATAAATTTATGTTGCCATAGAGTGTATTTAAACTCACAAATCACATTAATAAGACTGAGAATTTTTATCTCACTCGTCAGATTTTCCTAAAAGCACATTGAAAAAAATTAGTGACCATCTTCCAACTAGCATGGAAATAAACGCAATTCTGTAACAGATCGTTTTTTAGTACAGAACAGTAAGTAAAACCAATTTCATCGTAAAGTGTATTAGCGCTTCCGGAAAAAGTATTTAAAAAGACGCCACGTTTTAGTAAGCAATGGGAAGCTTTTTCTTTTTTTTTTTTTTTTTTAAGACTTACAAAGCCAGGTAACAGACGAAAAGAAACTCCACCCTCTAAGAGAACGCTTCTTGAAGATTAAGGCGCCAGTGGGTGAGACGCGGAAACTATTTCCCCCAACCCCGGTCAAAAAAAAAAAGGAGGGGGGGGGTTTCGAAACCGGGGTTGACGAACACAAGCCTTTACTAAGCCATCGAATCTACAATAAAACGGGAAAAGTGGGTGAGAGACTCCGAAGCTCTCCCCTAATCTTCCATAGACTCAATCGGCGTATTATACTCGAAGAAAGTCCCTTTGTTGAATCGTCACCAAAACAACGGAGTGTGGCCGAACAGCCTTAGGGAACACTGTCCTTGGTGGAGGGGTCCAAGCCGCCTCCCAGCGGTTGGGTCCACGAGCGCACCAAATCAAGAACCTCCTGAGTCACGGAGTCCCACGACCCCCAACTGCCAGGGAGCCTGTCGCCCTAGAAACTTCATTTTCTGCGAGGTATTCCCAAATCCGGCTCCGGGCCATCCAGCCACCCACCTCGAGGCCTAGATCCCAGACACTCTCCGCCACAGGCCAGAGCAAGGCCTCCCAGTTCCAGTCACCGCCAACCGGCGCCCCCGCTCGGCCTCGACTTCAAACCGGTAAAGGATATCAGCACCACGGCTTCAGCTGCTTCTTCTTCTTGCGACCCATAACCGCGCTCTACCGACAAAGTATAAGGGGGAAAAAACAAGCAGGAAAAACGAGGCAAATACCTCTCACTCTCCCGACCCAACGGCCACCACCGCGTCCCACAGGAAACAGACACAAAATGGCCGACGCCCTCGTTCGCCGCTCTGCTCCCGTCAGGCACTGCGGCCGGAGGCGGTGCCAGGCAGGGTAGAGTCACATGACGCAGTCCTCCTCCCTGAGTGGGTGGAGACTCGTGGCGGCTGAGGTGCAGCCGCCATCTTGTCCGTTTAAGCTGTCCCGGCCATCCTTGCTTGTGTTTGCTGATCCCTCCGGTTTCTTTTGTAAGAGAGCTGGTTACGGAGGTACGCTGAGACACTCGTAATTGAAGGAGTGGGGGTTGGGGGGGGAAACTGGAAAGATTATCATTGTAATTAAGGACAGAATACAAATAAAAAATACTGAAAGAGCGTCCAACTTTTAATTATGTCTCTTTGCTCGAATTAATCCTTCCTGTAGTAAGTGTTGGGCATTTGCTTATCACATATTTTGTTAAAGAAGTGTCAGTCTCTGCCTTGTAATTCACAGATGGGTGACAGGGTGCTGCAGACCTCCGGAGGGGAGCACTAACAAGGGTCTTAGCGGTCATTGGGGTGTCAAGAAAGGTTTTCTGAAGTGTCCGTGGGAGCAAGGGAAGTGGAAGAGAGAGAATCTCTTTGAAGGAGCAAAAAGCGCAAGTCTTTGAGCCTGAGCGCCTGAAATACGCTAATGGTGTTGGGGCTGGAGCTCCTAGTGATGGGGCTGGTTGGTGGCAAGAGATAATCCTAGGGAGGAGGGAAAAAAAGGAATCTAGGCTGGAAGGGAAGAAGTAAAACCGTGTTCACAGCACAATGTTGTTATGGGTTGAACTGTGTCATTGTGTGTCCCCCCCCCACCCCACGCAATCACCCACAAAGAAAAGTAAGTCCTAACCCTCAGTACCTCCGAAGGAGACTTTGAGCGGTGAGCAAGCTGACGCTCTAGTAGAGGAAACAGACAATAAACAAATGCATAATGTCAAGGAGTGATTAAGTGCACTGGAAAAGAACTAAAACAATAGTAGGGGACAAGATAGAGACCTGCTGGGATGACAGGAGAGGTTTGTGTGGGATGTGTTTTGTACAGGGCATTTTCCGTCTGAGGAGGGACATTTGTGCAGAAAACTGATATGAAAGAAAAAGACATGCACATATCTGGGGGTATTCCAGACAGAAGCGCAAATTAAAAGACGGCTACACTGGGGGGGGGGGGGGGCGGGGGGTGAAGTGTTTGAGAAACAGCAGGAAATGTGACCAGAACACAGTGAGCAAGGGAGAGAGTGATAGGAAATGAAGTCACAGGGGGAGGTAGAGGCCAACCTATGAAGGCTTCTGCACATCAATCAGAGCCTTTTTCTTTTCTTTTCTTTTTTTTTTTTTTTATTTACTTATTTGACAGAGAGCGAGCGAGCACAAGCAGGCGGAGTAGCAGGCCGAGGGAGAGGGAGAAGCAGGCTGCCTGCTGCGTAAGGAGCCTGACACCAGACTCGATCCTAGGACCCTGGGATTATGACCTGAGCTGAAGGCAGTTGCTTAACCACCTGAGACACCCAGGCGCCCAGTGCCTTTTTCTTACAGTGGTTTCTAAGACTGAAGCCGGAGAAAACAATATAAAATAACAGTTAAGATTATAGATTGATCAGGGCGCCTGAGTGGCTCAGTAGGTTACGCATCTGCCCTCCTCTCAGGTCATGATCCTAGGGTCCTGGATGGAGTGGGAGTCTGCCTTTATTTCTCCCTCTCCCTCTGCCACTCCTCTGCTTGTGCACTCCTCCACGGGCTCTCTCTCTCTGTCTCCTTCAATTGTGTTGCCAGAATAAAAACTTAAATACTGGATTGTGTTTCTATTTGTGCACATATTCTAATTCTGATTCATTCTTTTTAATGGGTACATAGTCTTCTGGTACGTATATGTAATAGTTTCCTATTGCTGCCATAACAAAAATCACAAATATAGTGGCTTAAATCAGTTTAAGTTTATTATATGACAGCCCTGGAGATCAGAAGTCTGAAATGGCAGGTCTGCATTCCTTCTGCAGCCTCTAGGGAAGAATCACTTACTGTCTTTTCTAGCCTCTAAATGATACACAAATTCCTGGCTTGTGGTCCCAAATCACTTCAGTCTCTGTATATCACAACTGCCTCCTCCTCTCTGATTTCTCTCCTTCTTACAGAGACTCTTATGGTTACACTGGGCCTACTTGGATAATCCAAGATAATCGTCCCATTTCAAGTTCCTTAGTATAATCACACCTGCACAGTCGTTTTGCTATGCGAGGTAACATATTCTCAGGTTCCAGAGATTAGGATGTGGACATGCTGGCAGGGTGTGTGTGTGTGTTTGTGTGTGTGTGTGATTATTCTGCCTACCAGTGCATGTACCAAAATTTACATTATCAGTACTCTATTGACCAACATTCAGATTATCTAGTTTTTCATCATTTTAAACCACGTTACAAGGAATATTTTTGGACTTGTATTTTCACCCTTACATAAATGTATCCATTTGATGATGTCCTCGTGTTGCACCAATAGCCAAAGGGTATGTGAATTTAAAATATTGATAGAGGAGCGCCTGGGAGGCTGAGTGGGTTGAAGCCTCTGCCTTCGGCTCGGGTTGTGGTCCCGGAGTCCTGGGATCGAGCACCTCATTGGGCTCTCTGCTCAGCGGGGAGACTGCTTCCCCCTCTCTCTGCCTGCCTCTCTGCCTGCCTCTCTGCCTACTTGTGATCCCTGTCAAATAAGTAAATAAAGGGGCGCCTGGGTGGCTCAGTGGGTTAAAGCCTCTGCCTTCTGCTCAGGTCGTGATCCCAGGGTCCTGGGATCGAGCCCCACATCGGGCTCTCTGCTCAGCGGGGAGCCTGCTTCCTCCTCTCTCTCTGCCTGCCTCTCTGCCTACTTGTGATCTCTGTCTGTCAAATAAATAAATAAAATCTTTAAAAAAAAATAATAAAAGTCACCTCATTGACATAAAATAAATAAATAAATAAATAAAATCCTAAAAAAATTTTTAAATATTGATAGAAAAAAAATAAAATATTGATAGACATTTTCAAATTCCTTTCTAAATCATGTATATTGGGGCATCTGGCTGGCTCAGTTGGTAGAGCATGCAACCCTTTTTTTTTTTTTCCTTTTTTGACAGAGATCACAAGTAGGCAGAGAGGCAGGCAGGGGGTTGGGCAGGCTCCCTGCTGGGCAGAGAGCTGGATTCGGGGCTCAATCCCAGGACCCTGAGATCAGGATCAAAGGCAGCCAAAGGCGGAGAGGCCTTAACCCACTGAGCCACCCAGGTGCCCCGAGCATGCAACTCTTAATCTCAGGGTTATGAGTTCAATCCCCATGTTGGATGTAGAGATTACTTTAAAAAATAAAATCTGAAAAAAATAAACAAAATAAAATTAACCATGTGTATTTTTATTCCTATCAACAGTTTAGGAGAACGCTTCTTTACGTGCCTCAGCACAAGGTATTTCAAATCCCTGCTAATCTGCCAGGTGAAAAGTAGTACAATATGTCACCAATTTCATTTGAAATTGAACAGTTTATTTGCTTACATATTCATTTTTATTTCTTATATGAACTGCCTATTGTCTTTCTTTTTTATTGACAAATGACAGGCCTTCATCTATTATATATGTTGCAAATACTTTTCCTGGGTGGTCATTTGTGTTTTGACTTTGGGTGACACAAAAGTTTAGTTTTTACCTAGTCAGATTTTTCTTTTCCCGTGTGGTTTCTAAGTGTTTTAAATATTTAGAGAGGCATTTTTCAAGACTCTTCAAAGTTCTCTCATGTTCTTACCTGGAAGTGGGCATTTTAAAGTCATATCATTTGGGGCACCCAGGTAGCTCAGTCAGTTTGGCCTCTGACTCTTGATTTTGGCTCAAATCATGATCTTGGGGTCCTAGGGTCAGTCCAGGGGTCGGGCTCCTCACTGGGCAGGGAGTCCCGGCTTGTCTCCCTCTCCCTCTGTCCCTCTCTCTGCTTCTGCGTGCTCTCTCTGACAGAAGGAAAGCACAAGCAGGAGGAGGGGCAAGTAGAGAGAGAGGGAGAGAAGCAGGCTCTCCGCAAGGCAGGGAAGCAGATGGGGGGCTCAAAATCCCAGCATCCTGGGATCGTGACCTGAGCCGAAGGCAGACAGACGCCCAACCCTCTAAGCCACCCAGGCGCCCCTAAAAATAAATTTTTATATCTTTTATCAATCTGGTGCACATGAGTAAGTGTCCACGCACTTGAAGAGTAGCTGGAGGGCCCATTCATCCCTTCCCAGGTGGCTAGCTAATTGTACCATGTTTATTACGTCTCCTGGACGTCTTAGACGATAGCCAGAGGAGAAAAGAGAGTCAAAAGAGAAACGGTAAAAGAGTCGCGGGAGGTAATTTGGCGCGCCTACTAGCCCCTGCGGGGAGTAAAGCGCCCCCGCCCTGGGCCGCCAGCTTCCCGGACTCCGGGAAACCGGCGGAACGCAGGTGAACGAAGGCTTGGAGCCGCACGAGCCCGGCCTGGGAGGACTGTACGGCAGCGGGGGAGCGGTTTGGCGGGAACACAGGGCCGCTCGGAGGCCGCCGCCGCCGCGATGCTTCCCTCCTTGCAGGAATCTCTGGATGGGGATGAAAAGGAGCTAGAGAGCAGCGAGGAGGGAGGCTCCGCGGAGGAGCGGAGACTCGAGCCGCCACCCAGCAGCCACTATTGTCTCTACAGCTACCGCGGAAGCAGGTGCAGCACCCAGCGTCCCTGTGGTCCCTCCCCGGCCCTGCCGCCGGGCCCCGCATCCCAACCCCGGTCGCTCGCAAAGACCTCCCCCTCTCCCAGCTGTATAGTCTCTGGCCCTAAGGGCCCCCTGGCCTCACGCCGTTCTTAAGGGCCACCGGCCTGGACTTTGCCCCTCCTAAGCCTCTGCGCTCCAACTGTCCCTCTCGACTTCTCAGCCCCTTCCTGTCGCCCCTGCCCTCGTTTGGCGCAGCGCCTCGGCCACTCATTAATGTCAGTTTCCACCCCGTCCTTCTTGTCAGTACCGCCCCACTTTCTCCCATTAGCCCCACGCATCCACACTTCCACCCCACCCTCTGATTGTCCTCTGTTCTCGCTGCCCCCTTTTCCTCGGTCGGGGCAGACACTCCTGGGGCTCTCTTGACCCTGGAAAGTCTGGTTTTTAGAGGAAATTCCCTCGACTCTTGTCGATGTTTAATTTAGCCTTTCTTCCACCCCTTAGAAGGCCTGGAGAGAGAAGGGGCTCTTGTCCGCACCGTTGCATGGGTTCTCCCTGTCATTAGGGTAGGCAGTGGAGGATCGACGCCCTTCTAACTTGCAGCATTTTCAGTGGACTGTACCCTCCCACCCTGCTTGCCAGCGGGGAGGGGGCCATACCGCGCTTGAGTTAGAGCCCATAACTCATAGCGGCATTGCTTTTGTGATGTGCAGATTGGCGCAACAGCGAGGGGACAGTGACGATGGAAGCCCAAGCGGCACAAATGCAGAAACGCCCTCTGGTGATGATTTCAGGTAAACACAGCTCGCCCCTAACCCACGTGTGTGCTTTTATCTTCTGTGCGTCTCTGTCTTGTAGATAATAGTGCGTACCTTATTTCCCTTCAGCTTTCCCCGACTCAAACCACCGAGCCCACCTGTCCCCTAGGAACTGCATCTGGATTTCCTCCTTCCTTCATTCATTCAAGGCTGGGCAGATCCAAATACCCGTAGTGCCCCTGGTGATTAGCCAGAAGCAGTAGATCTTAGTTCCTTGATTGGAACTGCATTAAATATTCAACGTCATATGAGTATAAAGAAATCTAAAATGCTCCTTTTCCCTGCCTTCAGTTTCCTTTCAGAGCTGCATTGCTACACACTGGAATGTAAACTCCAGGACAGCAGAGATTTTTGTCTCTTTGGTTCATTGATGTCTACCTACCTAGCACACTGAGAGATACTAGGGGAGACGTTTAGTACATATTTAGTAAATGAATGAATGAACCTTAGCACTTGATGCTAAGTAGGGTATAATACAACAATATGTCCACTGACTGGATGATGGATGATTTAAGGAATTTTTTAGGTGTCTTAATAGTGTGATGGTACCGTGAAAAGGAGGTAAGGTCAGGGGATTAGGGGCCCCGGTGGAGTCATAATACTAGAGAGAATGAGCTGGGAAGATAGGACTATTTTAAACTGTTCAAGGAGGTAGATCATACCTGGGGACATACACATCTAGAAGCCTCCCCAACAGGAGTCCTATAAAAAGCTTTGTCAAACCCTTAAAGAGATTCGGCTGTTAGTAATATTCTGACTTACGAGGTGTGAATGTATAGTCCACTGATAAGGAATGTGTATGTCTCATTTGTCAAGCCTTTCCTTAGTGGATACTAATCTGCCATCGGAAGTGGAACCAGAGCTGCGCAGTTTCATTGCTAAGCGTCTTTCTAAGGGAGCAGTCTTTGAAGGGCTGGGTAATGTTGCATCTGTGGAGCTGAGGTAAGTGTAAAATGTGCTGTGTCTGGAATTTTTATATCTGAGCTGAATATGAGAAGGAAGGAGAAATTGCAAAAGATCAGGTCCTACTAGGCTTGCCAAGCTGGCCTTTGTTCTCTGGCAGCCTGAGCGCTGGGTCTCACACACACATTTGTGGAATGGAATTCGGTGAATGGCAGACTCTGCCACCTAAGCGTACTTATTTAGTTTTGTACTTGAGACAATGAGTTCATTACCAAAATGAAAAGTGCATACTTTACAGTTGGTAAAGTGCTTGCACAAACTTTGATGCCATTCTCTCTACAAAGGGGCCATAGAGCAGATACTCTTACTTCCATTTTTAGATGAGCAAATAAACTAGAAGACATGAAGATTAAAAAAAAAAAAAAAGAAGAAGACATTAAGGTCAAAAAGCTGGTCACATTGATGGAGTTCAGGCTTAGTCACAGGTGTCCTCCATTGACTTTAGCCATCTTTCCATCATACCCCTTGATTGTAGTTCACTTTAGAAGTATGGTTTTGCCATCAAGTCCCCTCAGGAGTATGAAGCCACAGCCAAAAGATAAAGCCCCAGGATTAACATGTCACATCTGCTTGGAGCTTCAGCGATCTGTGAAGCTTCGGGGGGGAAAGAGAACATGCTTATATTTATGTAAACGTGGATACACTATGAATGAGAATAAGATTTGCACGAGTTTTTCACGTAAGAGAGGAGAACTCAAAGAAATGGCACGTTTGAAATTCCAGGCGCTGCTTTCGCTAAAAACAGCTTTCCTCTGCTGTTTCAAGCAAACCAAGGAGAAGTCTAGGAGGTTCTGACCTAGTTTGCAATTGAACAGTATTGCCAAATGAAGATGACCAGGGCTTGGAGCAGTCCATAAAACTAGATGCACGAGGGGCACCTGGGTGGCTCAGTGGGTTAAAACCTCTCCCTTCAGCTCAGGTCATGATCCCAGAGTCCTGGGATCGAGCCCCGCATCAGGCTCTCTGCTCAGCAGGGAGCCTGCTTCCTCCTCTCTCTCTGCCTGCCTCTCTGCCTACTTGTGATCTCTGTCAAATAAATAAATAAATAAATAAATAAATAAATAAATAAAATCTATAAATGGTGTTTTCAAAAAAAAAAAAAAAAAAACTAGATGCACAAGTTAACACAATAATACATTTCACTGTCTTGTCTTTTCTAGGATTCCAGAATCCCGGGTCGGTTGTTATTACTGTCTTTTCCAGCAAGAAAAACTGCTTCCTGAAGCAGCAACAGTGGACTATGAACATAACGCTTCAGAGTATGTGGTCTGTTTTTTAGGAGGGTCTGAAAAAGGACTTGAGCTATATCCTTTCTTTGGTCTTCGAGGATATCAGGAAGGAAAACATGGGAAGCCAGGAGGAGGAGTATTACTACCAACCTCCAAAGAGCTTTTCTACCCCTTCTCTATTTACTTCATTTCATACCTTCATACAACCAGTTTGTCCTGGCATGTTTTAATTTACAGTTTGCATCATTTGAAAGATTTTATGTATCCTATTGAGAGATAAAACACTGTCCTGATGCACCCTTTATATTGCTTCCTTAAGAACGTACTTTCAGGCTTGAACTGGACAAGTATATTCAAGGGCTGAAAAATGACATGAACCGTGAGGTAAGGTGATCGAAGATTTAATTGGTAAGACTGAGAGGATAAACACAGTGTAACTGCTCTACTTATTAAATCACACAGGTGTAGGGCGCCTGGGTGGCTCAATGGGTTAAAGCCTCTGCCTTCGGCTCAGGTCATGGTCCCAGGGTCCTGGGATCGAGCCCCGAATCGGGCTCTCTGCTCAGCAGGGAGCCTGCTTCCACCTCTCCCTGCCTTCCTCTCTGCCTACTTGTGATTTGCCTATCAGATAAGTAAATAAAATCTAAAAAAAAAAAAAAAAAATCACACAGGTGGACACAAAGACACTCCAATTCTAAAAATGTACTGCTTTGTGGGCTAATAGGAGGGTGCTGGTTAAGGGAAGCAGGGAACATAGTCCTGTAAGTGCTCTAAGTTTCACAAGACTGCTTCTAATGTTTTGTATCCGGGAAAAATTGATTCCATTCAATTCAGGGTATGTAGTAACATGCCAAGTGAGAAAGAGGATGCTCTTTTCCTGATTTCTAGGCACATACGACTTAGGTTCTGGTCAGAATTAATGTCCGCGGAGCCTCTGGCACCAAAGACATGCTATACAATGGTATGACTGTCCTTGAACCAACATCAAAGATTTGTAGAAAATTTCCATTTTTTAATTAGTCGATCTTTTGCAAACTAGTCACATCCATATTGATTGAATTACCCATACCTTTAAAAAACTACACATTCAGCGTGTAGTAGTTGTTAAGTCGTAACTCTTCTAACTTTACTACCCATTACATGTGGTATCAATTCCTTTTACTTGTCATGTGCTTACAAGATTCTGTGGGAGAAAAAAGGCTAGCATAGGAGTGAGCCAGGGAAATGAGTCTAGGGGGAGCTGCTCTCCCAGAGTAGAGCTCTTCTACTGGTCCCCAGTGAGCTGCATAGCCTAGAAAGCCAGGTGTGCTCATGGCAGCAATCGTGGCAGCATGTCTGACAGCTGGAGTGGGCTGGAGTGCTTTGATGAATTAGGGTGTGTCCTTCTCTGATCCTATTTGAATGTGAGTGAGCTGTCTCACTCCTTCAGCCATGTAGCAGGTCCTCTATAAGCTCATGCATGGATGTTTCAGGTACTGCCAAGGGCTGGGGTGATAGAGATTATTAAGAGAATATTTCCTTGGGCACCTGGCTGGCTCAGTTGGTAGAGCATGCAATTCTTGATCTCAGGGTTGTGAGTTCGATCCCCGCTTTGAGTGTAGAGATCACTTAAAAAGAAAATCTTAAAAAAAAAAAAATATCTCCAGGGCGCCTGGGTGGCTCACTGGGTTAAGCCTCTGCCTTCGGCTCAGGTCATGATCCCAGGGTCTTGGGATCTAGTCCTGCATCCGGCTCTCTGCTCGGTGAGGAGCCTGCTTCCTCCTCCTCTCTCTCTCTCTGCCTGCCTCTCTTGTGATCTCTGTCAAATAAATAAATAAAATCTTAAAATATATATATATATATATCTCCAGGGGCACCTGGGTGGCTCAATGGGTTAAGCTCCTGCCTACTTGTGGTCTCCGTCTGTCAAATAAATAAATAAAATCTTAAAAAAAAAAAAAAATCTCCAGTGAGTACACACAGTATGGTAGGGGGAGATGGACATGTAAATGCCCAGCTTTTCCCAGCAAAGAAATTGCATGGAACTCTACTATTTCTGTCTCTTTATTTTATGTAATATACCTCTAAGTGTGTTTTTAAGAATTTCAGTGGAGAATTAATCCCCACTCTGTTCACGAAAGTTGTATCACAATTCCTTGAGTCGGTGGTGTTAGCTTAAAAAAAGGAAGTGTCTATCCTCACTTTTTTTTTCTCTTTTATCCCGCTGAGCCACCCAGGCGCCGCTTTTTTTTTTTTTCTCTTTTAAAGATTTTATTTATTTATTTATTTATTTGGGAGGGAGAGAGAGAAAATGAACAGGAACAGAAGCAGAGGGGGAGGGCAAAGCAGAATCCCCACCGAGCAGGGAGCCCGATGTAGGGCTCAATCCCAGGACCCTGGGATCATGACCTGAGCCAAAGGCAGACACTCAGCTGACTGAGCCACCCAGGCACCCTATCCTTAGTTCTTCATCGTCAAGAATATCAAGAAGAAAATGTTAAGTCTACTAAAATGAATGCTTATATTAAAGGCAATGACATTCTTTCTTGATCTAGGAAAGAGGCCTGGAGAACCACATAAAATCCTACCTGAGCAGCTGGTTTGAGGATGTTGTATGCCCAATCCAAAGGGTGGTTCTTCTCTTTCAGGAGAAGCTTACCTTTCTGCTACATGCTGTAAGTATTGCCTAAACAAAAGCATTTCTTTAATAGAGAGTCACTTTGGCAGAGTTTGATTAAAGACATACTCACTTTCTCTCAACACTCTGAACACCTGAACATACACATATTCCCCCTCGCCGCTGAATATTCATTCAAACTATGCTTGTAATCAGAATAGACCACGTTCTGTTTACTGAGATCTAGAAAGTTCCATTACTCAGGTAGAATTGCAAATACTAAATCTTCCCAATAGGGTAAAACATTATTATTATTTTTTTAAAGTAGGCTCCATGCGCAGCTTGAGCAGGGCTTGAACTCATAACCCTGAGAGCGAGACCTGAATTGAGATCAAGAGTCTGACCCTTAACCAACTGAGCCAGCCGGGTGCCCCTAGGATAAAACATTTTAAAATAATACTTTTGAAGTGATCTGGGAGAGGCATAATTTCCAAAACAATTTGAGAAGGAAAACAAAAACCCGAAGTGAATTTTAACTATATAAAAAGTCCAGAGACGGGTGTCTGGCTGGCTCAATCAGTAAACCATGCAACTCTTTATCTTGGGGTCATGAGTGCAAGCGACACATTGTGGGTAGAGATTACTTTAAAAAAAAAAAATGTCCGGATAAAAAATGAAAAATTCACAAAAATAATTCAGACAATGGGGGAAGGCTAGAGTACATGGACAGGCTTTTATTTAAATATGTGGTGGGTAAATTCAGCTGCAACTGGATGGTCCCATGAGACCAGGGTGATAAAGCCAGGTTTTAGGCTGTCATTGGGCAGCCACTGAACAAGGCTCTGGAGAGCACTGGGTAGTGCCCGTCAAGAATGGTCCAGTGTGGTGCTGATTGGGGAAGCTGACTTTTACTGTCGAGTAGCTGCTCCATAAGGAAAAGTAGAATCCCTGTATCTATTAGGCTTTATTTTTCTCCCATAGGCTCTGAGTTATACTCCTGTTGAAGTTAAAGAATCAGATGAAAAGACAAAGAGAGACATTAACAGGTAAAGAAGAGTTTTGTAGTGGGGTGCCTGGGTGGCTCAGTGGGTTAAAGCCTCTGCCATCAGCTCAGGTCATGATCCCAGGGTCCTGGGATCAAGCCCTGCATCGGGCTCTCTGCTGGGCAGGGAGCCTGTTTCCTCCTCTCTCCCTGACTGCCTCTCTCCCTGACTGTGATCTCTGTCTGTCAAATAAATAAAATATTTTTAAAAAATCTTAAAAAAAAAAAAAAAAGTTTTGTAAGGAGGGAACCTTCTCCACAGCAAGCCTGATACTACATTTTCAAACCTCCCACCCAGTGCAGAATGAATTTGTTCTCTCCTCCCTACCCTGCAATACTGTGTGTGGAAAAGAACTTGTGTATGTGGCAGGTTTCTGAGTGTGGCCAGTCTTCAAGGCCTTATTCATGAAGGCACCATGACGTCCTTGTGCATGGCCATGACCGAGGAGCCGCATAAACCTGTGGTCATCGATTGCAGCGACTCCCAGCCTCAGTTCTACAATGCAGGTGAGCCATAGCCCGAGGCAGCCTTCCTGGTGGGAGTCTATTTTTGCCCTGAGAACACATCATACAAACTTATCCCCCTTGCCTTGTACACTTGTATCTGTTTATCTCACACTCACCAAAAACAGTATCAATTCTAGAACCACAGAAATCCCATCATGCCTAGCAGTTCCACTCCTATGTATATAGAGAAGCTCTTGTATGTGTATGTAAGGAGACAAGTACAGAAATATTCAGAAAGGCATTGTTTTAAATAGCAAAGAATGGAAGAAAATGTCTATCATCAAGAAAACTGAAAAACTGGGATGCCTGGGTGGCTCTGTGGGTTAAGCCTCTGCCTTTGGCTCAGGTCATGATCTCAGGGTCCTGGCATCGAGTCCTACATCGGGCTCTCTGCTCGGCGGGGAGCCTGCTTCCCCACCTCCCCACCTGCCTCTCTGCTTATTTGTGATCTCTGTCTGTCAGATAAATAAATAAAATCTTTAAAATAAAAAAAAAAAGAAGAAAACTGAAAAACTGCTGTAGTCATACAGTAGAGTCCCATATAGCAGCGAAAATGCACGGACTAGCTCAGAAGCATACTATTTAGTCAAAGAGCCATTAAAGAAAAACACATTAAGTTTAACATACGTAAAGTAATACTATAAAGGCCTTAGAGATATTTTTTTAAAAATTGACAAAAGTTGAAAGAAATATGTGGGAATGATAATCCTTTCTGATGGGAAAGGAGGGGGATATGATGGGGAAGACACAACTCAGGGCTTCAACCATTTGGTATTTCTTAGCCAGGTGGTAAATAGACTATTTTTTTAAACCATTACAGAACTCTTAAATAATTCACTCTTAAGTGGGGCACTTCAGTGGCTCAGTCGGTTGAGCGTCTGACTCTTGATTTTGGCTCAGGTCATGATCTCAAGGTCATGAGATCAAGCCCTGTGTCCAGCTTCTCACTCAGTGGGGAGTCTGCTTGAGATTCTCTTAGTCTCACTCTGCCACTCACCCCACTTGTATGTGCTGGCTCTTTCTGTCTCGCTCTCAAATAAATAATCTTTAAAAAAAATACAGTGTAAATGTTTTTACCAAGAAAGAAAGAAAATCACAATGGATACATGTGGTGTACACCTGAAACTAATAAGTTGGATGTCAGTTACACCTCCATTAAAGATAAATAAATAACGAATAGAAAATAAATGTCTTATGCTTTGTAAGGAGGGAACCTTTGCATTGGTAGGATTTCAGTTTTATTTATTTAATTTTTCTAAAATACTTCATAGGAAGCAACCGGTTTTGTGAGGACTGGATGCAGGCTTTTTTGAATGGCACTGAAGGAGGTAACCCTTTTCTTTTTCGACAAGTACTGGAGAACTTTAAACTAAAGGTAATTAATTGGCTACGTGCCAAATGCCACATAACGTTTTTGTCTCAATTTCCGTTAGTACCAATGACAGAGTAACAAATCTGCTTTACAGCTGTGATGTCTATTAAATAGGACATTCTCAAAACTAGAATCCCCAGAAGGCATTTACTTTATTTATATTTTCCAGGAGCTTCTGCATATATATCATTGCATTTCCAATTAATTGGGTTGAATGCTTTCTTGTATCTTGGGACTATCTTCTAATTTGTGATGTATCTTAGTTGGAAAGCACCAAAAAAAAATGGTTCAATGCCTAAGGTTCAAAATTCTGATGGGGAGGAGCGTTGTTACTTTATTTAGGTGATTTTAAAGGTATTTAAGAAATTGTGTTCTCCCAAGGGCAAAGCATATTAGCCCTAAGAATGATGGAAATATTTAAAATAAAAAGCAAACATCTCAGCAACATATGTCAAGCTCTCAGCTGGATAGGAGAAATTTTTCAGGCTTCATTATTATCTCACTAAACACATATTTAACTGGGTAATTTTTTTCTAGGCCATACAAGACACAAATAATTTGAAGAGATTTATCCGACAGGCAGAAATGAATCATTATGCTTTGTTTAAATGTTACATGTTCCTAAAGAACTGCGGTAGTGGAGATATCCTTTTGAAGATTGTTAAAGTGGAACATGAAGAAATGCCCGAAGCCAAAAATGTGGTGGCTGTCCTTGAAGAATTTATGAAAGAAGCTCTTGCTCAAAGCTTTTGATCACATGTTTTGAGATAACTGTATTGTGAAGTTGCACCTTCAAGCCTTGGTGTTTGAAACTGCGGTCGTTATAATTGTCCATAGGATTGCTACTTCAGACTATTTCAAACACATTCTAGATGTCTTCATTTTGTAATTTTAAAATTTAACTTACTTAGACATAAAAATCCAAGGACCATTTTCACTGAGTCTTAGATGTCGTTAGAATCGTGGCGTTTTAGCGCACTGCTGACCCCATAAATTCCAGGCTTCAGGGGGTTGAGGCTCAGAAGTCTTGAAAGGTAATTTTGTGGCTTCTCTGAGGAGCTGGCTGCAGTATTAAGCAATTTTTCCTCCCAGAAAAATTGTCATACTCCTTTCTCCATGTACTATAGCTTCTTTAAAAAAAAAAAAAAATGTCCTCCTAGTCTCAGGACAGATCAGTGCTGTGACACCATTTCAGAGACAGATCTGTGCATCCTGTGGGTGCTTGGATAGATTTTCTTTTTTGTCTGATTATTGCATGGATGACAGAGCCAGCTTGTAAGACAATACACAAATCATGAGTGTGTAAGGCATTAAATGAGCTTTAAAAATAGATGCATAAGCTTCAAGACAAAACATCTCTGACAGAAAGCTACTGCCAAAGTGGCCCCCAGCCCCTTTCTTCATTCATTTGTTCACAGCTACTTGCCAGGAGCCTGTATTTTCTTTTCTCTTTTTATGTCGAAAATGCTGTAGTTTCCCAACAGAGTGTTAAAAAAGAAACCAAGTACTTAAATTCTACAAGCAAACTGTAACAAAGAATGCGAACAGATTCTTCATATCAAAGTTACTCATTGATTTTAGGGTTTTTTGTACATTTGTTACAAGCCTCATATTGTTTTACTCTGAATCAACTGAATGGGGCCTCAGCTAGAGCCATTTATAATTCCCAAGGAAGCCAGTTGTAGCTACACTTGTGATGGCAGTTTGTTCTGCAAAGCTCTTTAATAAATCCATTTGATAATGATTTTTGTTTAGAAGATCAGAAGTCTTATTCTCACTGCCCTCAGGATGCTCAGAGGAACACAAGCCCGTAAAAATCCTCTCCTAAACTTATACATAAGTGCTGAGTTTTAACTTTGAAAATGACTGGCAATGGCCTTATGCTTTCTCTTCTACAGAAGTCTGGGGACATGACTCACCAAGCCATTTCTTTTCCTTTAATGAGAAATACAATTCAGGATCTTCATAAAGGCTCTCATATGGTTTTAAATTTTAATAACTTGGATTGTAGGCAGTGTAGAAAACAAAATCCAAATAGCATTTTTTATAGCATTAAATTCAGAATGACTATGGGAAATAAGCAATTCCAAGGCACTACACTTGAATCTGACTTTTTCTAATGTACTTGGTTGCTCATTTAGAAATCAATTTTTTAATAGACAACATTAGGACATCAACATTTGGAGTCAAAAAAACATATTTTTCATTTTCAAATTCACGTTTCATTCAATAGTCCATGATGTAAATGGCATTTTAAGGTAATGTATTACCTGCTTCAAGCCATTTATGGATATAGTCAAAGTTTCATTAGCTATTCCTTACATGAACTTCTAAATATATATTTTGTGATGCAGGCTCAGTACACTGTGTACCATATAGTCTTATTTTACAAGTCTGTGACAAACCATCACTATTGTAGGCGAAGAAAATGGTGACGTGGAATCAAGTATCCTGTTGGCCATGAGAAGAAACCCAAAGAGCTCATGACCAGAAACATGGACTGTATTCAAATTTTAATAAGCTAATGTATTAACTTTTAAAGTTTTAAAAAGGACTTGTTCACGTGTGGAATACATTTATGTATTACTTGTGTGCTCTACACACAGGAAATATGTTTGTCATGTTATCAAAAATGGCCTCAGTTTAATTGTAATTATATTTGTAACAATAATCATAATAATAAACCACTCTAGCTTCTCATCAAGAGTCATTTTTGTTTAACAAGCTCCATTCTCAAGCTGACATTTTTATGAAGGTGCGGCAAGTTTGCGGGGGAGATCATACTTGTCATGCTAAGGAATCTGTTGAAGACAATCACATCCCCTCCTGGAATAACACCTTTTGGCACCTGGCAGGAGGCATCAGGAAGGGTGTGAGGGCAATTTCCATCACGATGTTTTATTCATTGTCCAGGGAAGTTACACACCTAGAACTCAATAACCCAAATCACTTCCCTTCACTCTCATTCATTATTAACCATGATAGAACGCCTGTCCTTCACCAGAGACGCACTTAAACCAGATGCTAGGAAAGCCTGCAGGCATCCGGGAAACAAGATGAGGACCACGTTTTCCTAACCATGTGTCTTCTTAGTGATGGAGATCCGCCCCCGCCCGCACACACCCTGGCATCGATGAAGTCCCTCTACTTGGAGGTGTAAGAGGGCAGCTCCAGTCCCGCAACTGCTAAACTTCCTAAATGTGACCCAGACTTCAGATAATTCTGAGCTGGCATAAATGCTAGATTTCGGAAGTCAGTGGTGATAGGGAGCGGCCATGAATTCATAGCTATGGATTTGCTTGTAAACTATTCTAGAAGGGCTGATAAAGCAGAGATCCTGTTAAGTGAGCACCAAATCAATGTTCCAAGGTCCATTACTTTACTAATGCAGTGAGACTGGGTCCTGAAACGAACGCCCTGGCCCTTCCACAGGTTTAGTGCCCTGAAAGTCCCACACAAACAGCCGAGGGGTGAGTGAAAGCATGAACTTGGGAACCACAGTGCGAATCTATCTATGCCACGAGGTACCCATGAGTCACTACACTTCTCTAAGCCTGCCCCTCTTGTAAACATGGGTGTACTGATACCATTTCACACCAAGTAGCCCTGCACTAAATGAGGATCTTCCATGGAAAATGCCTTATGCAATGCCCAGCACATACTAAGTAATCCGTAAACCGTCTTCAGGGTTACCTATTCACTGTCTCACGAAGTTATCGGAGAAAGAGGCTCTGGTAGGAAGGAGGAAGCAGAAAAGTTAAGGGGGAAGAGATAGGAAGCCAAAGGCAAAGCTAGCTAAACAGCTTCTGGCTGTCCAGGGAGCTGGCCCGTAAGCGCCCCAGCTACTGGAGCCTGGAACTGACTGGGGGGTGCACCGGGCCTCAGACAGGGCCCCGATTTTCCCTCCGGGGATGTGAAGCAGGAACGAATTCTTTGACCTTGAGCCTGAGCTGTACTCTTAAGTTGGCTCTGGGATGCCTTCTGCAGCTTTTAGAACTGTTTTGCAATGACCTACAGGAAACCGATGTGACAACATTATGGGAAACAGCTCCCATGCTCAGTTTAACAGGGTGGTTTAATCCCCCAAGGAAATTTAACGGTTATGAATAGCAAACCCATGTACGCAGCCGTCGGTTTAGAAAAGCTGGGAAAAAAACTTCACTTTCTCAGACTGTGTCCATTCGAAGCCCATTTGATTATTAAACTCACCAAGCATTTACGCCCCTCTTGTTCTCCTCTTCTGTTTGCGAACTATGCTTTTACCCTGAGAACCTTTCTATCCCTTCCTCAAGATCCTCAGGCTTTGACTACCCCTCGAAAGACCTAAATAATAGACTACTGGGGTAAAGAAGGAAGTTCCTAGATATTTCAAAGATCATTCCAATGATAGTAGTATATTAATCTCCCATTAGAATATAGGTTAGAGAAGAGCAAGATGGGGCGCCCAGCAGGACAGCAGGCAGAGAAGTTCCTGACCTGAAGCCACGGACCAGTTTCCTTATTCACACACCACCTCCCCCCTCCACATTGTACACAAAATTGTCTATCTGTGCATTTTTAGGGCAGGAGAAAACACAGCTTCCATCAACCACTCAAAGAGTTCAGTAATTCAAGAATGGTTAAGAATCACCGAGCTAGGAACACTAGCACCCGCACCGACTCCCAGAGCTGTGCCGTATGTCCATCAGAGGCCCAGCGCAGCACCACTGCTTCCCACTGCCTCCCACCTCCCCGACCCAGACCGAGACGAAACAGGCTCCAATGCTAGCCCTTCAGGCCACTTCCTGAGTCACCGATGGCTTTAAAAAAAAAATCTTTAATGGAATCTGTGTTCAAATAATATGTTACAACAAAATATACAGAATGTACACAATACAAAAATATTTAGAAACAAACATTGCAGCTTGTGTTTCCTTTTGTTTCCCACTTACTCAAGTCCTGGGGGTGGGGGGGGTGGAGTGGATATTCAATGTTGGGCACTGTTTTTTTAAGGCAGAGGAGTGTGGTGCTTTCTGGCCAGCCCTGGGAGCAGCATGAAGGACTCCAGGAAAGGGCTTCCGCGGCACCCGGGAATCTGCATTATTTGCAAACGAAATTGGACCCTGGGGGAAGATCTGGGCTTGGTGAGCAATGACTCCCCTAATCCTCTGGGTAAGAAGGGTCCTCGTGGAAATGGAGAGTCCTATTAGCTGGCAAAAACACCTCATTAGGGAGCTTTTCCTAATTAAAAAAATGAATGATTAATGGTGTCATTAAAGCCAAATTTCTCTTTTGAAGATCTGTTTTCCCTTCCCTAGTTTCTGTGATTCCTCTTCCGTTTAACGAGCGAGCAAGTCCGGCTGCTGTTTGGGGAATCCCCAGCTTTCAGTCTCTGTATCCTGTGGATGAAGGCCAGCCACCCTCCACAGCCCCAAGAGGCACCCTGGGCCGGTGGCTGTACGGGCCTGGGGAAGGAGGGGTGAAGGGGACGACGGTGCTGGCAGGGCGCCGGGGTGAGGGTGCATGGACCGGCTGCGGTGAAAGCCAGACACCAAAACAGAAACCTTTCTTACCAGACAATGATCTCTGGCCCTGGTTTGGAGACCTGGGTTGTGAGGAGTGACCGTGGAGCCCCAGTGGGTGGCCCTGTTTGGAGCTGATGGTTGGACAGGTATGGTGTGTAGCAGACTAAAGAACTTCTGGGTTCCTTTGGGACCTGCTGACAGGTGGGTCGCTTGGTGCATCTCAGACAGGATGGCATGTAGGATGTCCGCCTTAGGTAGTCCTTCTTGGTAGCAAACTTCCATCTGCAGCCCTGAGGGAACTGGGTGCTTCTCTGGGGCCTTTCTAGAGTCTTCTGGTTCACAGTCTTCTCACCCCTGCGAGAGGCAGACCCCTCTCCAGGCTGTACCAGATGAAGGTGGGAGAGACTCTCTACTCCCTCCACCCACAACCCAGAACACCGGGTGCAGGGGGGTGGGGGGCAGAGCGACGCCCTGCCTCCCCATAGGGCACAGGGTGCCTCTGCTCCTCCAGGGAGGAACAGCACTACTCAGGGTTAGGGGGCTGCAACCCATGGCCAGGGCCCCCCTCTCCATCCTGACCCAAGTCCTCTGAGACCCCTATTCCAACTTGTTCTCCTCTCTGAGGAAGCTGACTCTTCCAGCTACCCCCTTCCCTCCCTAGGGGCAGAGGCAGGCTCACGGGACACAGACAAGACGCCTTGGGGTGACGCAGCTCAGCCCCCAATTGGCCTGGCCATCCTCAGTGCCGTGCCAGCCCAAGGGCAGCATGACCTCAGGAGAGACATGTGGGGGTACCCAGACAATCTGTCTAGCACCGGGCAAAGACGGGGAAGGGCTTGGCGTAGCCTGTGGCTGCATGGAGACCCTGCCCGTTCACATGTGATCACTGAGGACAGGAAGCCACAGTGGCCCGAGAGCCCCTAGCTGTCTGGCCCGGCTGACTCCAGACTAGGCTCCTGCTCTCACCCCTGCAGGGACACACTCCCTCTGCCTCCAGGACTGGAGTTGTCTTTCTGGGTTGTCGGTTCTTGGGAATTCCAAGAGCAGTATACAGGGAATCACACATTTTGTCAAAGGCCATCCTCCCCTCCCCCTCTCCTCAGGGGCTATATCAGCTCCGGCTCAGAACTCATTCCCTCAGCCTCATTTTCCCACTTGTGCCTTGCAGGGGCGGGGGAATGAAGCTGACAATAGCCAGTTCCTGCCAAGCTCTGAGCCTCTGCATGTAGGGGCTGCCCTCCCCTCTGACCCTCCTCCAAATACCCAACAATTCCCTAGAAGCCGCTTTCCTCTAAATTGGAATTTCTTTGCAGCCTCCTGTCCTCCCTACTCGATGGATGCAGGGCTTCAATATTCCTGCCCCAGCTTCTCCTACACCCCCAAAGCTCCTTCCCTCCTGAGGAAAACAGAACTATCTTAGACAGGAAGGTCATTCTAGAGGGAAACAAGATGGGAACTTGGCAAAGGCTGGCTGAGGCGTCCTGAGCATCCCCCATACCACAGACAAGTCTCCCACTGGTCAGTGGCTCTCAGGGAGATGCCTGGAAAGGATGAGGAATGGGAAAGAAGGGGGTAGCTTTGCTGAAAGCCAGATCCTCAGGAGTCCCACCTCTCTGCGCCTTTTTCCCCTCTCACGCAGATCCTTCCACACGCCGCCATGCCCCCCAAGGGCCTCTCTGCAGTCTCTGACTTGCCTCACGTTCTTTCCATGGCCTCTCCTCCCATCCCATGGGTGTCCTTACACACTGAACCACACACACACACATACACACACACAAATGTCCCCATGACCAAAGGGGAGGCACAATATAGGGTCAGGGCAATGGAAGGGAAGGAAAAGGCGCTAAAAACAAGGCGGGGCCTGGGATGCCGAGGCAGGGAGATGAGATGTCAGTATCTGGGGGACAGGGAGGGAGAAATCCAAAGGTGGTCATGGGCCTTGCCTAGGGTAGCATTTGGGACGAAGTTTATTCCCTCCTGCTTGCGTTTCTCTCGCTGGACACCCCCAAGGGCAAGAGTGAGGCCTGGAGTTACAGCATCTCCCTTCTCTGCCTGCCTCAAGCACTAGAGGCCGTGCCTCAGTGCCCAGCACCAGGAGTGCACCCTGGGCTTGCTTACACCAAAACCCAACACGGCCCTCCTCCGCTCCAGAGCTCCAAACCCAACAGCTATAGAGCGGACACTCCC